ATGATCCTGTGAAGGGGGAGCAAAAATCCTAGAACTACACAAAACCTGAGAAATGACCAGCAAAGAGCTGTGACCAAAGAAACAGAGTCTACTATCAGTAACATTATGACAAATCCTGCAATGCCAGACCTGTTCCCTGCTTAAGCCAGTACTTGTCCAGGACCAGCTTTAAACAGATCTCTGAGACTATCACGGAGCAGGTGCATTTATAAGTATTTATACCATCACCTGTATTTATACCATCATATACTTATAGATGCCACCATCTAATTTTGATAATCATTCTTTATTTAAAACATTTTAAGTAAAACATCTTTGTGAGTTGACTGACATGACATCTGTCTCAAAGTTCTTCATTAAATCTTTTAGCTGCTTCTGCATTTGATACATGTCCATAGCTGTAATCATGTGCTTGGTTTGCTTAATCAAATTCCTATTTTAAGGACTAAAGCAAAAATGTGTTGCCATTTTCATTCCATGCTTGTGTACAACAACTTAAAATAATCTGATATAAAAATGTGCAAGTTGGTAGGTCACAAATATGTCATCGTATTAGCTAAACAGGTTTTATTAAGAATATTAATACAAAACTATTACACACATGGTGAGAATGTATTTATTTGCATCATTTGTTTACAACTACTCTTAATATTTATATAAAAAGTGCAAATATGTCACATTTCATTATCCATATAAAATAATTTTCTCATTAGATACCGCTGGTGATCTGTGATCATCCGCACAGGCCAGATGTGACTCCTCCCTACAGTTTAAATGCCAAAAGTTAGCATTTTAGCTAATTGTCTGGTAAAAGGTCAATAGGCATTTGTAAATGAGACACATGGTGGGTGTTCATTAGAAGTGCTGAGAGCTGCTAGGGCTTATTAGAGTAGCACAGGGTCCAGCCAATTGTGTGTTTCTCAAGGGAAAGTCTATAAAGTCCATTTATGCTCTACAGTCAAAGAGGACAATGCTGTCAAAGCTGTTATTTCTTGGCAGTGCTGTAAAGACCAGTCTTGGACCACAATAAACCTGTTAGTGAATTTAACTTTTGTTTTTTTTATGAAAGAAAAGCATTCAAGGTGGGGCCATTGTGAAGTCCTGAGGAAAAACATCTAAACCAAACATGAGGCTGTTTTTGGATCCCCTCTTTTAAGATTTTGAATGAATTAACTGACTTTTACTTATCTTTGGAGTTTATTTTCTTTTTAACCCTATCACAACTAGCTATAGGTGCAAAATATTTTTTTCAAAAATATCCATGAGCAAGGGTTACAATTTTTTTCAAACTATAATAGCTGTCTTATTCAAATGTTACTTACATCAAAGGCAACATTGATTTTCTCTCTGTCAGTTTTACAGCAATGCAACGCTACTCATAAAACATTTTACAAAAGATTCCGTTTTATGACTGTGTATGTATACAGATTAAATTGTAGTAATATGCACTACAATATAAAACAAGACATCAAGGCCCATATTTTGAGTGTACCATAAGTTGGTCTTCTGAAGGAGAGCAACATCTATTTATTCTTGATTTCTTTTTCCATTTTATTTCCCAAGCCATTTATGTAAGAAAGATCAGTGTTGGATTTCACAAGGACTGATTGTCACACTCGTCATATCTGAGCCAACACTGGACACTGTAATATAATGTTTTGACTGCAATGTAAAAAAAATATATATATAATTAAAAGGTCACTGGTCATAGGTTTTTAAGGTTTTAGTCCAAAAATTATTTAACAGTGCCCCGTGCAGATAGGAGATTAACAACTAACACCTGTGACAGCCAACACCCATCTCCCCTACTTCAACTGACATTGTGTTTCGAAATGTATGTCATCTGTGTACATTTTGACACTTATATAACTAAGTACCAAAAACAACCCTCCACCCCATAACAGTAGAACAGATATGATCACTAACAACATGATAACAAAAAATATCAAGACAACAATAAAAAAAATAATTTACTGCCTTCCGATAGTGAAGCTTCTTTTACACCCTTAAAACTTAGTTGTAATATGAGCATAGAGGGGATTTTTCTTCCTTCAGATTGAGAGAAAGGGCCCTCTACAGCTTTAGGCAAACTCCAGAATATTTTAACTTCATAACTTTAGTGTCCAGGCACCTGAACCTTTGGAGCTGTTCTTTTAAGCCTGTGTTTAACACTTACATTCCCATGATTTCCTTGTGTTCTGCCAGACCACTAAGACAAATATTCGATTTAGTTAAAATGAGAACATTTCAGGATCCACCAGACCAGAACAGCTACATGCTGCATTTTAATGCACAGATTTTTCTCACATTTGCACATAATGCACATATTTTTCTTCATATTGTTATCCTTCTCATTTTTTAATCAAATAGTTAAAGTTGTTTAGTAATTGTTATCTTGTGATTCTATCCTAAGGGTGTATTATATTTTTTAGAGTGTCCTTTAGTGTCCTTTCAGCGTCCATCTAAACAGCTGTTCCAATCATGTTACTTGGATTGGGGCAAACTGAACTTTCACATTGAAGATGAGGCAGCAGCACTGGATAGCACATACCGTTACTTTAAGGGATGTTAATCTTATCCAGTTCTTACATCCTGTAACCCAGGAACAGCGACAGAATGATTTGCTAAACCTATAGCTGAACTATATCGAAGCAGTAATGACACAGATCCACTCTTGCCGCTCAAAACAGGCAGAATTAAAATCTCAGATTTTTTCCCCCTTTTTTTTAGCCTGGACACCTTTCTAAAGGTAAAGCTGACAGCTTCACCTATCACAGTGCTTCTACTCTAAATAAAGCTGTGTGCAAGTAAACACATCATGATCAGATCATTTGAGTTTACGGCCAATATAAATGGTGCATTCTGATTATGTTTTTTCACATTTTATTCTGATGAAGGAATTTTGCACAGCTAACCATAGCAACTGTCATTATCAGGCTAATAAGCAAACAGCAGCATCAGGCAAGCTACCGGAGACACAAATGTCAAGGCTCAATAGTTGTGTTTTTGGGTGTTGCGTAAGGCTCCACAAAAGGCTGGCAAGCAAACAGCTGTTGACGTTTCCTCAGCTCGAAATGGAATAAACGCAGGATATTGTAGTGACACCACCTGCTGTTGAAATCCCTTGATCCTCATCAATGTCTCTATGTGTTCAGGTGCTGTATCATCACCAGTGCTGTTTTGCTGTGTTAAATTGCTTTTGCAAGGTTGCATAGTCTCCACTTTTCACCACTGTTAAGTGCTTTTACTCTTTTAAGGACTCAAAAATAGAAATTAGTAAAAATCCCAATGAAAATGTTAATGTTTTACATTTTGCAGACAACAATGCCAGGAGTTTTTTTTTTTATTTTATTTATTTTTTATTTATTTAAAACGCTTCTGATGCTTTTTTATGTTTTTCTCTGCCATTATTTGTTTGGGGAAAAAAATAATGAAAGTAAAAAAACAAAACAAAGCTCATATAAAAATGATTGTGTTCCAACATAGTGCTTTTTAAAAACCATTGTATTTCTGAAAAAAACAAACAAACAAAAAACGTTTAAAATGTTGAAGAAATATAACACTATAAAAAGTAATAAACACAAAAAATAATATGGATAGCATGAATGAGTTCAAAGAGAGCCTTTGACTAATTAGACTAAAAACACATTCATTAGTGAAGCACAGCTTTGCCATTTGATCACAGGTGAATATATATAGACTTACAAAGAGATCAAATCTTATAATTCATCTTTGTGCCTAACTCAGAAATGGTTTTGGCACCAAACAGAAAAGGTATAACTGGAAACATACTCCAGAAGCTCTGTGTTGTGGCTATTAGCAAAGAAAATGAAAGAAATATTCTTTACTCTGTCATGTGACAGTGTGGTGCCAACACTTCTTCAAAGCCTAGAGTTAATAAATTTGATGCTTGGCCAAAATGCTTTTCTTTTTTGGAAAGAAACAAACAAACAAACAAAAAAAACAATCTATTGCTTGGACTATGTGGCACTGCATGACCTTAAAGTGTTTCTTTGACAACAACTTTAGAAAAGAATTAGTAGATGTGCGAGTCAAAAATAAAAATCTGATTCTTGGCCAAGTTTCAGGAACGTACGAAAACTGAAATACACCCATGAACCAACCACCACCAGGAACAATGGGCTATATGCCCAACTCCACTACTTCCTGAACTTCAGCCAGCTCCTTTGTTTCCTGTCATTCATTACTGGACAGGGTAATTAATCCAGGTGTGTTTGGCCAACGTTGTCATGGTTACTAAGGTCAGACATACCTCAATTAATCAGTCTGTCCAGTAATGAAAGATGAAACAAAGAAGCTGGCTGAAGTTCAGGAAGTAGTGGAGTTGGGAATATAGCCCACTTTACCTGAGCTGAATAGCCTCGCCTTTTGTGTGTCTGTCACTGAATATACTTCCTTCTTAGACTGTGACATTGTATAGGACATGAGTATTTTAGTAAAAGAACATAACTGCTAATGAGTAAAAGTTGCAGTCTAAATCCCAGGAGCTGTTATTTATGAGCCAAATGCAAATGCCTTTATTTTACAGACTCGGAGACAAACACATATTGGATACAAATTCTATAAATCAGATTGTGTCTTAAAATTAATCAGACAAGCAATGTTTTACGCTTATTATATGCCCTACACCTTCATATAAAGTTCTGGCTCTCTTTAGTTTGCACAGCTGAAGGAGCTATTTTACATTTAGGCCTGTCTTTGATCAGCGCTTTAAGAAAGACTTAGGAACACAATCACATTAGAACACAAGCAGACATCTATAACCAGAAAATTGTACTGCAATCCCCTAGAGGGGATTCGAGAGCAAATCTATTCCTTACCCAGTGCCAATTAAAAAGTGCATTGACATTCAATTCTTCAGCAACCACAAACCATTTTCCTTCTTCGCTTGACTATGGCTCTCCTTTAATTTTAACAGGCTCCTGCCCTCTGATGTCCAACATCTTAACAAAGCATGGGGCTGAATTTGATTTGTTTACCTTGCAGATGAAGCTTGCTCTCAGGGCTCTGCAGGAGGATCGAGCTAACTGAGTCCAAATTGTCATAGCTGCTGCATCCCAGAGGCCCTGTCCGTGTCTCTGTCACCTGCAAGGAAATTAAGTCTTTAATGAAAGCCACATTACATGAAAGAATAATTATTGTGTCTGTGTAGGTGTGTCTGCCTGTACATTATGCCCAACAAGTAGAAAGCCTTTTCATGTGCAGCAGACCTGTTGTCATCAAACCATTTAGTATTTCTCTCACTAGCTTTATGTTGCAGTAACACATTTAGGACAAAAAAGAAACGATCATAAGACTACCCAGCCATTAACAATGTCGACTGCCGTCAGCGTATAGCATAACAGTTATTAGATGGTTTCCTTTCTGAGAGACTTTCATACATGCTAATTGCACTGCATCCACACTAGTACATTTGTACCCCGTGGCCTTGATACAAAAGCACTTTGATTGTGCAGTTCTAACTTATAGTTTAACGCTTCAATAATAAAATGACCTTTTTTTGCATTAATCCTAATATACATTAGCTGGCTCAGTTCTCAAAAGAAGTCTCATTTGCAATCTCATTTGCTATTGCAACACCTGTAACTTTGGATTTTTTAATGTAGCATGATATGGCTCAGTTTTATTTTCTGGAGTCTCTTTAAAATTTCCTTTTACTAGACAAGGAATGACAAGCCTTTCTAAATATTTAGCTTTTTGTTCCTAAATGTTAACACTGAGCAAAGTAATTAATTGATCTGAATTTATATGCTATTTAAATACATGTCCTCCACATTTGAAAACTCATTAAACCACATTTAGGAACATTTTACTAAAACCATACATTAACAAATTCCTACAAAAAAAAAAAAAAAAATCCACTGGACTTTGTTTCCAAGCTCGAAGATGTTTCGCTTCCCATTCAGGAAGCTTTTTCAATTCAAATGTCAGAAATAGCATTGAGTTCGAGGCTTTATACAATAGCCAAACAAGCCTTGCTTTTGCAAGGGGTGGACCCGTTTAAATGGACGATCAGGTCCACCCCTTTGCAATATGGGCCCTTTGGAATGGGAGTTGTTTGGCTTCTTCTGTTAGCCTGCAATGCCCCATACCTGTCTGACAGTTATTGAGCCAAATGTCTTCAAGCAAAGCCCAGTGGTTTGTTTTTTTAAGATTTTTGGAATTACTATGACCTGGATGACTGAGAATCTTCACCAACATACACTACACTATATTTAGTGATATAAAGTCATAATGGTCAGAAAATCAACTGTAAAACAACAACATTACAAAAAAAGTCAGACACATACTGTAAGGAACTATATTTAGATTTCACATTATTAGCATGAATGCTTTCATTAAAGATGCTAATTTTGAAAATCTTTGGATTAATATGTAAAGCCTAAAAATAAAATTCATAAATGGATTTAAACTAATGGTGAAATATATATCAGTTAGCAAAAACCATTAAGATAGCTCATTAATTATGAAGAATACATAAATTGTGATGTAGACATGAATTTTGATATGGATACTTTAATTTAGAGCTTAAACTGGGAGCACAAAATTGACACCTATCTGGTTTAAAAAGACATTAATACAAGTGATGAAAAACTTGGACCTCACAATTAATCTTTTGTGTTATCCAATAGGCTGTACTGCCTTGGGAAGGAAGATATGTAGGCATAAAACATATCATTGATAATCATTCTGTTATTTAATACAATGCTTGTTTTCATAGTATATTATCTGAAAATGGTCTGTTGTGGGGACTGAGAATGACACTAATGAGGCTAGACAGTGAATCAAACATTACATATGCATGACTAGAAGCCAAAAGTAATGAACTGGAAAACACTGTAAAGTTCCTAGCTGCAAATGCTGCCATGCTGTGTAATGTTTTAATTTTGACCCCTTTTGTAAGATTAATGCAGGTAGTCATCATAATCACTTCGGATGAAAAAAATTAATTACATTAGAATGAAATACAAAGAGCAGAGACAGGTATTGCTACCATTCTTTTGCATTATGTCTGTTAATTTCTTTTTTTTGTTTACTTTTCATGAAACAATAGCATTAACTTTTTGGTTAAATCCAACTTTTCAAACCCTTTTAGAGACATCAGAATTACAAACTTTTTATCATTTAAATGTATCGATGGTTGAGCTGCAGTCATGTGGAATTCCTCCCTTTTTATAACATCCAGCGAAACAAAACTGAAAAAAGCCAGTTTTTCTTCACAGTCTTAGTAACATTTGACCTCAGTAACTTTGGGTGTTTATGTGTTTGCATTTCTCTCTCTTTGTGAGAGAAAAAGTGAGGGAATAAGATAGCGAGACTGAAGTGGGATGCCATTTTTTTCTGCCTTTTTTGCTGATACTGTACCAGATGGTAGGCTGACAAGCAAGAAATTAGACAGATGTATATCTTACCCTTGGCATCAGGCTATCAGTGGGAGGGACTGATGGGGTGGGGGATGCAGATGACAGACAGGGCCCAACTTTTCCAGAGAAATATATAATTATAGCTTTCATTTTATTTGCTCTTGAATAAATCCTTTAGCATTAATTATTTCCCCATCCTTTGGTACATAAATATCAAACAGTTAAACTTGATCCTTTCTGGTTGATAAAGAACATCTAGGTGAAGGTATATAATAAACTAATGTGCTTGGATTGATGAGCCAACTGCACTAATGCATTACAGTATTTACTTTCATATTGAAGTAAGTGTTAAAAGCTGAATCCTTAATTAATTAAAACCAAACTGTTACTACAAATTTGCTTACTTAAAATTGTGATGTCTTACATGAAGAATTATATCAGAGTTTGACTGTTTTATAACTGTGTATAACGTCTGTTTTTGTTATTTACAAGGTATTTTATTGTGCCTCTAGGTCTACCAAAAAAGAATATAGCTTTGGTACAGCTTCACCAAAAATATCTTTCATGAATGCTGATAAAGACAAGCAAAATAATTCACAACACTGCAATTGACAAATGTTTACATTTGTGCCTTGTTTTTTTTTTTTTACTAATGTTAAGATTCTCTCAAATATACCGGTAAACAAGTAATAAGTTTGTATGGTGATTTTTTTATTCTACAAGACATCTAGATCCTCTGATTACATTCAAAGCAAAAGTACAAACTAAACCCGAAACATCATTGTATTTCAAAAGGATTTGCTTGGAGGTAGTGCAACTAAAAGATGATGGTACCTGCCAGTTTACATGGCGCCGCAGATGGCAGCCACGGTGTGTTGGTGCGCACTTTTTAGTTTCTTTTTACTACTTAACTCTGGTTTTTGCGATGCTGGCCGGAGCTCTTTCACCAGAGAAGAGCTCATGAACATCAGGGCAACATCACCAGAGGATTTATTCCCCACTTTTCTTCTCCCTACGCTGGAAATTTTGG